AGAGGGGGAGGCCTCGGCGTGAGAGGAGATGGGGCTGGACCCGGACACCTGGGGTCTCCTGGCGGGGGACAGGGAGCCCGGACACGGGTTTTGTGGGAGAGGAATCGAGGTCCTGGGGGGCAGGAGTGGGGGGGATCCCCAGACTCCTGGGCTCCCTGGGAAAGCTGCCGGGGTCTCTGGACGAGAGCGGAGGGGCTCCTGGATGCCTGGGTCCCTGGGCAAGGTAGCGGGGCCTAGTGGGCGCTAGCCAGGTGGGCTCCCGGACGCCTGGGTCCCGTGGGCTGGCGGGGCAGGGCCAAGCTCCCGGGCCCATGTGTCCAGGGCCAGAAATAGCAGGTGGGGGCGGGCCCCGGGTACGAGGGGTTGAGTGACACTGGGGCCTGGAGGCCCCCCCGCGCCCCCGAGTCAGCGGAATGCCGGTGTGATGTCAGCGGGCTCCGCCCAATGGGGGCCGGGGGCACCGCACGCCTCATAAGGGTGCGGGGCCAGGCCGGCCGGGCGGGTGCGGATGCGGGTGGTGGCGGCTGGTGCTGGGGTGGGACGCGGCCATGGACAACGCGCACGCCAAGACGGTGGAGGAATGCCTGGCCTACTTCGGCGTCAGCGAGGCTACTGGCCTCTCGCCCGAGCAGGTCAAGCGCAGCTTGGAGAAGTACGGCCCCAACGGTGAGCCGGCGTCATGGGGGCGGCGGGCACATGGGCAGATGGGCGCTGTTGCATGGGCAGTGTGGAGCAGGCCAGGCCGGGGTGGATGGCAGCAGCAGGGCAGGTGCCCAGCGGGGCAGGGAGGGCCAGCCGGCCGGCTGGGGCGCAAGGCTGGAGGACACAGCTGTGTGGTTGCTGGGGGAGGCGGGTGCGGGTGGCTGAGGGCACTCACTTTGCTGGGGGGGCTCTGAGATGCAGGGGCTGCATCTGGGGGGCAGAGAGACCGAGCCCAGCGAGGTGGATACGTCGTGTATGGATGGATGTGTAGACAGACGGGCAGGCGGGTGGATGGATGGATGTTGCAGTGAGGCGGGTGGAGGGCATGGCGGGGGCGAGGACGGTTAGAGGGACGGACAGATGGACAAGCAGGTGCCATAAGGGTGGGGTGCTGTTGGTAGCTGGTGGGGGGAGATCAGGTGTGGAACAGACGGACAGGCGGCGTGGGGGTCGGGGGCTGGAGCGATAGGTGCATGGATGGGGGCGTCGATGGATGGATGGACGGACAGACACGTGGACAGATGGGTGGGTGCAGAAAGGGTGTACGAGGATGGACGGATATACAGACAGATGCAGCGACAGGGAATGGGGGGGTGTACAGGAGAGGTGGGTAAGCCCGGGGCACACAGACAGGAGGGTGACGGATGGACAGCTGGGGTCGAGCATGGCTGTGGTGGCCAGACGGACAGGCAGGCAGATGAATGAGTGGATGGATAGATGGACGGACCCAGCAGACAGCTGGACAGACAGAGGCTGAAGTGTGGAGGGAGAGACGGGCGTCTGGTGGGCCCAGGGCAATGGCAGACAGACAGGTGTGCGAGGGGCCGCAGGCTGCACTCACCGGTTTTCTCCCCACCCAACACACGTGTCCGTGTCGGTGCCCACAGAGCTGCCGGCAGAGGAAGGTGAGTCCCGCCCCCATCCCCTTCCTTCCTGCCCCCTCCTCCCTGGGGCAGGGGCTGGGAGCTGACCCTTGACCCCTGGCTCTTGACCCCTGGTCTCTGACCCGGCCAGGCAAGTCCATCTGGGAGCTGGTGGTGGAGCAGTTTGAGGACCTGCTGGTGCGGATCCTGCTGCTGGCGGCCTGCATCTCCTTCTTTAGTCTGGGGTCCCTGGGGGCACAACGGGGGTCGCAAGGGGGCTACAGGGCTCACAGGAAGCCAGGGGGGTTTTGGGGGACACATGAGGTGGGTCACAGGAGCGTAGGGAGGGCTGGGGGGGTGTCATGGGAGCCACAGGGGGTCACACAGGTTGTGGGGGTCACGGGGGGGGCTGTGACCTGAGCC